ACCTCCCGAAACTTCCATGTCCGGTGAGGACCTGCGTCAGGCGGTAGGTGAGGACGCCGTAGCGTCTCTCAAGCCACTCCTCAAAGAGGGGACTTACCGCTGCGATGGCAGCGAGCCCAGTAAAACACACCTACGAGTACGCAGTAGATAAATATATGTGTGTAAATAAGAGTAGGTAGCTACTACTACTCATTATTTGATTTTTATGATGTAACCTCTATTGAAATGGTCTTCTAGAAGATTCTTAGATTTGCGTATTTATGATAGAATTCGTGTGATATTCAGAACTACGTATATTTATTACGTAGACCTGTTAAGTTTTTTATCCTTTACGCTGTTACGCCTAAACTGCTAAACCTATTTTATTGAATTTTGATACAGGCATAGATGATTATGTGGAGAGGGAATTGATTTATCATAAATAGACATTGTCTTCACCACGTAACATGTTATTTAGTACCTAACTTATGATATTTCATAAATTTAATTCATGATGGTAAATATAATGGATGGACTGGAGGAGAATGCCCAAGAAGAGTCCACCTGTAGAGATTTTTGTAGTAAGTTTATATAAATAAATATAATGTAGATATTTACCTCAGTGCGCGTAGAGAGCGGATCACCGGGTCGCCTAATAGACACGTTAGCGTCGACTCTGAGGGCGCCCTCTTCCATGCGACCGGTGCAGGCACCGAGTCTTTGCACTATCAGCACCAACTCCTTTACCAGGGCCGCCGCTTCTTCGCCATCCTGGAATTTTAAGAAATAATATATTAAAATATTATTTCGTGTTTCTGTAACAATGTCCCAGGAACACCAAAGGTAATAACGAGTACAATACGTATAGGTAGTTATTGAAAAAAAAATAATTAGTTGCCAACTTATATTTCAAAATTAGGAACACATGATTTGAATTACTTATTAAGAAAAAACTCATATTTGTATATACAAATTTACATAATGATTAGATTCATTAGAATGAAAATTTAGTTAAATTTGAAATGTAAATTTATTTGAACGAATTAACTATTATTACCATTGCAAATTTTGTAAACAAAGTAAACTTAAAATTTTCATTCTGTTAAAATGTAACGAGGCCAATGTTTGAATGGATTACAAAATTACTAATTTATTCTTCATATACAATTACTAGTTGATTTGCAAATGAGTGTATTCAATCAGAGGTCAATTTGCCACTAAATCATGTTTAAAGTATCCATTATTGCTAAATCCTGACTTTAATTTGAATTAAATTAGGAATAAACTAAATATTAATACTTATAAAATTTTAATGTGACATGATATTTTCTTATATCTGTATCTACGAGGTTAAATATTCACAACTTAAAAATAAATTTATATTTATTTATAAGAAAACAAAAAAAATAAAAAATATTAATATTAGCTATATTGACGTCTACAAGGATGTTATTATGAAATATTATTGTTTAACTATAAAGTATCATTTACTAATTATAATTTTAATCTATAATTAATTGGAAAATAATATTCTTGTTACATGAAAACAGCACCAAAACTCAATGAATAAAAATACATTTTCACTATCAGAGACAAGTAGTTAGGTACTCATTTACATAGTTCTTAGTTATCTTTGTCTATCACATAATTGTTCTCAAAAATAATTGTATTGTGTATCTCATTTTTTTTATTTATTAAAGACTTATGTCGTTTGCCAAGAATATGATACCTATATTTGGTCATAGAAAAACTGATTACCTACTTCTTATCACACAAAGTAAATAGTATTCCTTTATAATTTCAAATAAGCTTTCATGTTAACCACCGCTTAGATCACCGGTGACCTATGTTAGTGGAGGACTTGCCTTCAATAGTTTTCTGTCAGCAGTCAAAGGCTTTTTTTAAATGATAGGAGATTAAGCATGGTATGTTGCAGCATATTTTTTATATCTAATATTTGTTTGGCCGAATATTTGGCCACCATCTCACCTGGTGGTACGAGATGATATGTGGTGATGATGGAACAAGCCTACCTATGAGTAACCTGTTCACTCAAGACTTGAAGATACCCAAGTTATATTTGCCATTGGACGAACATTAAACTTTATACTTAAATAATAATAAAAATGGCTAGTTAATAAGTACTTGCCTCCAAATCAGGTTCGAACACCAGTTCTATAAGTGGAGCTCCGGCTCGGTTGAGGTCAATGAGACTCCGTTTGAGTTCCGCATCATGCAATGACTTGCCACTGTCCTGTTCCAACTGTATTTGTTTGATCTTTGAACTCTTTCTGTACGGTTTCTTGTGAATTCCTGGAGTAAATACCTGGAATTAAAGAAAGAGGTTGTATAAATGTCATGAAAAAATTGTGTATTACTAGGATTTCAACGGATTTGTCAAATATCATGATAACAATCATAACTGATAACTGTAATAAGTATAGTTCTAGTTATGTAATGGTTTCTATTGGTATCTACTGGATACTTTTCAAATCAAAACATGCTTTTGAGGTTAGATGTCTCAAAATAATAGTCTACCTGAAAGTTAATAACGCCATCGCTAGCCAATGGATTTCTCTGCTGCGTAATTTGATAACCGGTCGGTAGATCAGCATAAAAATAGTGCTTTCTGTCAAAAGTCGAGATTTCGTTGACTTTGCAAGATAAAGCTAAAGCAGTCATTATGCCCAGTTCCACACATTTTCTGTTCAGTACTGGCAATGTACCAGGCACAGCCGCATCGAATAGTGAGACACAATTATTCACAACACCACCAAAGGTATTCTGAGCACCAGAAAACAGTTTCGATTCTGTATTCAACTGTGCGTGAACTTCTAAACCAACGACACTTTGCCACTTATCAGAAACAGTAGAAAAGCCACGTGCCACTAAACTCTTATGTTCGTAACTTAGTCGACGACATACTTTCATAAATTTCATTTTGATATTCTAATATATATTCATAATAATCACACAACAACAATGTACACTACTCGCCCATGAACAGCTGATTTTGACAGGATAAGCACTTTTTGACAAATTACACATTAAATGCAGAATGCAGATAACACAAAGTTACAGATCCTTAAAATTTTTACTGTCATAACTATTTTCTAATTTCGCAATATTAAATGTTTCTTTCTTTGTTCTTATGATTAAATGAAATTAATTAAATTAGCGACGATTGACAAACAATTTAACGTTTTTACACAACCGACAAATACCTGCCTTCTAAACTCTCGAGGTCAAACTCGAGGTTCGAACACTGAATACTAGTTTAAGAAACAAATAATAGATGGCGCTATATACTACTCAACAATGTGAGGCATTGATTTTGTTTTAGTAGAATGTTTCACTGTTGCTTCAAAGGGCAGGCAATTGTTTTGAAAGTTATCATAAAACTTCAGTTAATTTAAAAGTATAGTTAAACAAAAAAATGGCTTACCTTATTAATATGTGCTTCCTTTCAATTGATCCAGCAGTATTTGATTTAAAAATATTTAAATCGTAACCTAAGTAAATAAATAATACCTAATTCATTACACCTAAATTGCATTGATAATTTGACTTAATAACTTAAACTAACTAAAACACCTAATTTATAGATTTAGAAAATATCACATTTTGGAAAGTAAATTAGAAATCAATATTCATTTTATACAACTAATCCTGCCACCACTTCGAACAGGAACGAGAAAACATAAAGGACAACAAAGGCCAAAGTGACTTCAGCGATGGAGTACATTTTTATTGATCTTTTTTACAAAAGGTAAAAATGATTTTCGCGGCAAAACGCGGTGAGCGTACGTTCGATAGCGCCTCGTTGCGAGATATGACCGCAAGTCAAAACAAAACTGTGCTATACCCACAGCCTTGACGTCAACGATATTACGCGATCGAATTATAATGAAACCACATGCATCGATGCTTGTACACTGTTCACCATCTTTATTTATCCGTATTACAGCTGACACTCCCGCTATATAGGGGTTTGCAGTCGATGTAATTAAATAATGTACCTGATTAACTAATAGATCTTTTATCTAATAGATATAAGCAACCTAGGAAGTAATCCTTTTTATCTTGGTCATATTCCTACCTAATTATTTTCTCAAACGCAGTTTTAAAGTAGGTAAAAATACTTAGGTAGGTACCTACCTACTTTTGCAGTGAATAAAGTTCTGAAAGTAATAAATTGGTACTTATTTTGATGAAACCATCCCACTATTAAAATATTTGTAGGCATTCGTTTTATTTTTGTAACCAGTTAACTTAAAACCATAGACTGTTTGGATCTAAAGTCTAAAGAATTCTGACCTCGACCTTTATTTTTCCCTACTATGTCACTGAGTGGTGTACTTCTGTGTATCGTTAGATAGATTTTACCTCCTTGGTAATTTTCGCTCACCCTGTGTTCTATCTACTGTGAGGTAAATAGACACCTACATAATTATGATCTAGTAAGTATCTATGTACGCCCATACAAGTGCGACCTTTGACTTCCTCGTACTTACTACGTAGACTTTGTACCGCGCCATCTATTAATCGAATATGCAGATTTGTTACGAAGTCATTCACCTATGAAATATATCATCTATCCACAATAATCCACATCCTAACTATACATGTATATTTACCTAGATTCAGTGCTTTGTTTAGGACGCTTAATTAAATTAATGCACGGTCAGTCCAGGTCCATGTGGATATGCCCTTAACTAAATGCTATAGGAATACCCTGTACCCATAGCGCAATTGAAGTACATAACTGCTAATCCTATACACTACCACATTCTCAGATCACATTGACTCCCGTCTTATCAGCTGGTTCTGTACATCAAGAAGTTATTTTGGGACTTTCATATTGTTCGTACAATAAATACATATAGATTTCTATATACATAAGTACTTATTAGTCACCTAGATTGGCCTATTACAACGCATAATTGGCCTATTACATACACATGTGTGTGTGTGTGTGTGACCACTGCCCACAGTGACAAAATTATACCGGGACTCGGGAAATGCGAACACACGTAATTTTCAATCGCTCGCACGCAGCCCAGGATATAAATAATTCACAGCAACTCTACATTAAATGTCTGACTGCTTACCATTAGTTTTGTAAATTGCACACTAATGTACTGACACACATTTTATTCGTAAACCAATTACATTGGTACCTACTAATTTTGTCGCACAGAGATGGAGGATATTAATTTAAAGAAAAGATTGTTAGATGCCAATTTGTAATGAGTTCTTACTTTAGTATTTTTTCATAAAACTGGAAGCACATTTAACGACACCCCTATAATTACTTAAAAGGGTTATTAGAGACGAACATAAGTAATAGACATAAGTGATAGATTGTAACACATTTTGTACCAGTTACATTATGAGTTATACGTACATATTTATTACCTAATGAGGAATGATGAATGAATCTAATGCCAATCATCGTGGTACCTAATAATTTTATATGTTGATCATACACATGTGTGTGTACGCAACTTTACAATGCATCTACAAATATTCCCAAATCATTCTGAGTAGGTACCTACGTATTTCCATTAAAAGAAAACACCAGTCATCGCAAACTTGTAAATATTTGTTGTTTACAAACCGATATCATTTTGTTTATAAGGTGTTTCAGTAAAAACTTTATCTGCACCATATTATCTTAATCCAAATTTAGGTTTACATCAACAACTCTCTAATTTCTTTGTAATAAACACCTATCTATCTACGCACAACGTTTTGAATAATTTCCTGAAAGATTGTGTAATGAATGAGAGAAGAAGGCTTACCTAGGTATCATTTACTCCAATAAGTTCAATTGATTTAGCTTAGAAATCTTAAATGTCTTATAATATGGTATGCATTATTATATTAATTATGCTTCTTAACTCAAGGATCGAACGCATTTTTTTTTATTATTTCGTATCTTACATAGGAATCATGGCGCCCTTGTTGGTTTTAGTCATAACGTAATTAGTATAGCGTGTTCCCTTCGGTAAAACCCGTTATTAGGGAAAACCAAATGGTTACATTATTATGTTAACAAAGGGCTACTTCGATGGTCGAGTTTTCACAAGCGTTACTCGAGCCAAGGGGTTTCAAATTCAGTTCGGATAAAGAGTAGCCACAGGGATATATTTTATTTTTCTATGCCTTAGTCAGAAAGCTATGAGAAGAGACGAGTGGAAAGAGGATAGGGAGGCCTTTGCCATGCAGTGGGACGACCATGGCTAACAATAAAATAAATCTATACATATAATTAATTATGGCATATTATTATAGGTAGTCTGTCTGTACTTGAGCATATCTGTGACAAAAATGTGGGCGTAACATGTAACATTTCTCTGCTTATACCTACCTACATAAAATAAACAGCAAGTTACTATGCTACGAAGTCACAATAGCACAAAATATGCCTATGTATGTATGTATGTAGATTATTTTGCATACCAAGTGTACCAAGAGTTCACAGTACTAATTCTATTGTTTTGAAATACCTATGAATACGTGGGCATATACGTAGGATAGATAGGTAGGTGCATACATCTATACTTATATTATAAAGAGGAAAGATTTGTATCTATTTTTGCATATTTGTATGTTTGTAATGAATAGGCTCAAAAAGTACTGGGCCGATTTAAAAAACTATTTCACCAATAGAATGCTACATTCTTTCAATTTGACATAGGCTACATTTCATTTAGAAAAAAATTAGGGATCCTTGGTAAAATTTGAACCATGTAACCGAAGGTGTAGAAAAATTAGTCTAGCGATAGAACAAAATATTGTACAACAATATTGAAGAACATCATGATGTCCAACTATTGTAGGTAGTTGTCACTACAACAATCCACATTTCCAAAAATAAATAATTGTCTACCCCGTGCGAAGCCGGGACGGGCTGCTAGTATTATATACATACATACCTACTTACTAATCGTTACTTATTATTTCCAATGATATTGTATGTTCAATTATTTCCAGATGTGTTTGTGTTAAAGTAGAATATAATTATTTTTTTAAGGGAGAAAATTATCGAATGACTTCTCTCGCCTGGGTGACGCGGGAGGGACTGACAGACTCTTACTGACTAAAAACCACCCCGTTCCATTCCGTCCTGCACTTCGAGCTTCTTTTTCCGCAGGTGCGTATTTCCATCAACCCTTTTGGGTCCTATCCGTGGTAGTCTGGATGGCTCTTTGGAGCACGCAAAACGCGAGGCGCCGTACGCTCGGGTAGTATTATATTATATGTATGTACGTATTTAGTATCTTGTATGTATGTCTATAAGTACTTATCTACTATTTTCAATGTATGTAGCTATCAATTGGAATGTCTGAAATAGTTTTCCCTATAAACTAGGTCAAGACTTCAACGTGCTGACGTGTTGTATAAAATGTGTACGATCAACTCAACATGACCTAAAATAAAATGTATTTCTATTCAGATTTGTAGCTGTGAATTTATTTTATGCCATGTGTTGCCTGTTGGCAGATACATAATAATATTATAATTATCTTAGAAGAAACTTAGGGTGCGTTTTTTTCGCTTAACGATCTGGTAGTACCCATATCGTAGCTAGTAGTCAGCATGTAATACTGAGATTCGATACCATATACAATTTAAAAAGCGAGCCCTTTCAATTACTACTTTCTAATTAAAGTATTAACAAGCCGGACAAATAAGCAGACGGATCACCTGATGGTAAGTAATCGGCGTCGCGTATGGACACCTGGAACACCAGAGGCGTTACATGTTGGTTACCGGCCTTTTGGAGAATAGGGATTTAGGGATAGTTCTTAGGCTCTCCCACACTCATTACACATGAATTGCCTTCATCTAAAAGGAGATTAGTGGAAAAATAGTTACCTACTTGTTTTTATTATGTAAAAATTACATATCACTATATTCAAAACACAAATTATTCTAGAAAACTATAAATCTTCACAGATAAAGTAATCGATTAGCTAAGATAGGTAAAGTTCTAAGTACCAAATAATCTTAGTTTTACATTTTAGTCCAATCGGCAATCATATAGATAGGTAAGTCCGTACCTAAGTAATATTGCAGTATAAAATTCGCTATCAGT